ATGGGCAGTCGGAACCTTGGACAACCATCCCACATACCTATCCCCAATAACACGCTGACACTAGGAATATGGGAAAAATTGTCCACAGCTTTATTAACAAACAGAAACGATACTAATAATTTAACATATATAACACATGGGTCATTGCCCCCCATCCTCCGCCCTCGCATCTATACCTTCATTAAATATCAGGGCAATGACCCAACATAAGCAACACATAAATATATATAAATAACGCTTTAACTTTACTCCAACATGAACCGATTTGAATGCAACCATAAGTAACCACGGTAGGGGTATACCCAGATACCCCTACCCCACCAGGTTCTGAGCCACCTCCAGGACTCGAAACCCACCATCAACCAGTGACCACAATTCTTCATGTTCCTCACGTTCCTCATGGAGAGCCTATTTTTCCTTCCCTAGCTCTCTATCCCGCCGCTGTGACAAAACGGGATAAAAGAAAACAAACCCATTACAGGGAGGGAGGGTGGGACAAACACAGCTAGGTAGAAATTAATGTGCACATTTTTAAAATGGCTGCCTAATAAATAGCCAGCCCCCATCCCATAATCCCACAGTCCTGCTTGGTCCCTCCTATGCCCGCCTCCTAACCCCTGTCAAGGCCCTTTTCCGCTAAGCTGCGCTCTGGCTACATGGGGCTACAGGTCAGCAGTTGTTAATCTGGGTGGTGTTATTCATCGATTTTTGGCTAAAAAGACCGGTCCGCAGTTGTTGAATTTTAACTTGGATTTTGTTACTAACATCAGAGAGTGTTTTATTTCTAGATACAATACAGGGAGTGCAGAATTATTAGGCAAGTTGTATTTTTGAGGATTAATTTTATTATTGAACAACAACCATGTTCTCAATGAACCCAAAAAACTCATTAATATCAAAGCTGAATATTTTTGGAAGTAGTTTTAGTTTGTTTTTAGTTATAGCTATGTTAGGGGGATATCTGTGTGTGCAGGTGACTATTACTGTGCATAATTATTAACTTAACAAAAAACAAATATATACCCATTTCAATTATTTATTATTACCAGTGAAACCAATATAACATCTCAACATTCACAAATATACATTTCTGACATTCAAAAACAAAACAAAAACAAATCAGTGACCAATATAGCCACCCTTCTTTGCAAGGACACTCAAAAGCCTGCCATCCATGGATTCTGTCAGTGTTTTGATCTGTTCACCATCAACATTGCGTGCAGCAGCAACCACAGCCTCCCAGACACTGTTCAGAGAGGTGTACTGTTTTCCCTCCTTGTAAATCTCACATTTGATGATGGACCACAGGTTCTCAATGGGGTTCAGATCAGGTGAACAAGGAGGCCATGTCATTAGATTTTCTTCTTTATACCCTTTCTTGCCAGCCACGCTGTGGAGTACTTGGACGCGTGTGATGGAGCATTGTCCTGCATGAAAATCATGTTTTTCTTGAAGGATGCAGACCTCTTCCTGTACCACTGCTTGAAGAAGGTGTCTTCCAGGAACTGGCAGTAGGACTGGGAGTTGAGCTTGACTCCATCCTCAACCCGAAAAGGCCCCACAAGCTCATCTTTGATGATACCAGCCCAAACCAGTACTCCACCTCCACCTTGCTGGCGCCTGAGTCGGACTGGAGCTCTCTGCCCTTTACCAATCCAGCCACGGCCCATCCATCTGGCCCATCAAGACTCACTCTCATTTCATCAGTCCATAAAACCTTAGAAAAATCAGTCTTGAGATATTTCTTGGCCCAGTCTTGACGTTTCAGCTTGTGTGTCTTGTTCAGTGGTGGTGGTCTTTCAGCCTTTCTTACCTTGGCCATGTCTCTGAGTATTGCACACCTTGTGCTTTGGGCACTCCAGTGATGTTGCAGCTCTGAAATATGGCCAAACTGGTGGCAAGTGGCATCGTGGCAGCTGCACGCTTGACTTTTCTCAGTTCATGGGCAGTTATTTTGCGCCTTGGTTTTTCCACACGCTTCTTGCGACCCTGTTGACTATTTTGAATGAAACGCTTGATTGTTCGATGATCACGCTTCAGAAGCTTTGCAATTTTAAGAGTGCTGCATCCCTCTGCAAGATATCTCACTATTTTGACTTTTCTGAGCCTGTCAAGTCCTTCTTTTGACCCATTTTGCCAAAGGAAAGGAAGTTGCCTAATAATTATGCACACCTGACATAGGGTGTTGATGTCATTAGACCACACCCCTTCTCATTACAGAGATGCACATCACCTAATATGCTTAATTGGTAGTAGGCTTTCGAGCCTATACAGCTTGGAGTAAGACAACATGCATAAAGAGGATGATGTGGTCAAAATACTCATTTGCCTAATAATTCTGCACTCCCTGTATATCTAGATTTCAATCCCATATGTCTATTTACATTCAAATGGTGAAAGACATAACACGTGTGAGTCTCACGAAAACATTACAGGGACACTACGGTCACCAGAACAACTACTGCTTAATGCAGTGGTTCTGATGTCTAGTCTGACCTTGCAGGCATTTTTATGTAAACACTGCCTTTTTAGAGACTTCTACACCTATTTTCAAACAAAATTCCCACAATGCTCAGCCAGATTAATGGGCTAAAGGTTAAAAAAGCATAAAGAGAAATGTAGTCATCACTGCCGTATGGCCATATGGCACTGGCAGAACTACCGCCGGTGCAGCCGGTGTGGAAGCCCCGGTTCCCGCACGCTATGGGGGCCCACCGGGTGGTCCAGAGACTTAGAGCCACCCAATGGGTATTGCTGTTTTATCGCTTAACACAGGCCCGGTCGGGGTGCCATGGCCCTTTAAGACCGCGACCAGGTCCCTGTAATACCTGCCAGGTGGGAGGAAGTGATGATCACGTCCAGTTTTTTTTTGTATTTTGTGAATTCTAATTAACACTGTCTATAAAATATTCCGCCAGCTCCAGCATACTCTACTTTTATTCGCGGTTCTTTAAATTTGGGGGAGGGGGACAAAAATGTACATCTAACTAGGTAACAGAGGGTATTGAATGTCTCCTTCTGACTTAGTAACTATAGAGTAGCTACACTGGCTCAAATTATCAAACCTCACTGTCTATTGGAGTGCATACATTAGAAATATGTGGAGCTTTAATTTTCAGGTGCCATTTTGGTGCTTGGATATGATATCAAAGTCTAGGCCTTTAAAAGGGGGGCTCTTCTCTGGCCTTTTGCCAGTGTGTAATCCTTTCTGGGCTGATTATTTGGTTGAGAGTTTGGTATTTCCTGTGTTCCTGTTTTACTGATCTTTACCTAGCTTCTTCTCAACCATCCCTGCTGGCTGCATGTCCTGACTTTGGCTTGTCTGACTACCTGCTTTCAAGTATATTGACCCTGGCTTGACTGCTGATGTGGATATCAATCAACAAATTGATTATCTTACGTATCTGCCCCCGGCCAAATTAAAGAAGTAATGCGTGCACGCTCCTGAAGTAATTCACACCAGACACAGGTTTCGGGTTAATGAAAAACTTGAGGAAAGTTTATTCTGGGGGGACGGCATGCCCCTTATAAAGCAAAATTACATCATATGCATTGTCAGAGATAACATGGAATAATACATCAATAATTGGTTAGGTGTTAAGTGGTTTATTTAGTGCTCTTCCTACCGGGTGTGATGTCACTGGTATCTTGGTGGTCTCCCCCAGATTCCAGCGCCATCTTGTTAGTGAGGGTGTTAGTCGATGTTGAAGGGAAAACTCCCTAGCGGCCATTTTAGGTAAATCACATAGAAAGGTGAATAATGCTGACTGTAGTTATGTTGAGTAAATAGGCATTTTACTAATATAAATTGGGTTAATATTTTTGTCCACAACAGTCCCCCCTTAAAATGACTGTGACAGAACCATCTGTCTGCTTATTGTGGTGGATTCGTCTATTTCTGCCCGTTCGTGTAAATGGCTGTTTCTATAGCCTAGCCATACGAATGAATGTTTTCACCGAACAAATCTACCGAACGGAGGGCCACCCAGGATAGAAGTGTGCTGCTGGTTAACCTCTTGATCCCAATTAGAATGTTGTGACACTTCTCAATTAAACCGAATTCAGGGTGGCCGTCGTTCGTATGTCAACCACGAGGCAGCAGCAATTTTAAAGCACACGAAAGCCCAGCGGTGTTTGTGTTAAATATGTTTATTGGTTCCATAACATATTCCAATGCAAACGTATTATTTTTAATGCGAGTTAGTGCCTGCGCAGAGGCCTAATTATCTGTGTATGAATGGATTCACAAGTTGTTGCCTGCGCAGAGGCTCTTCATTCATATCAGTTGTTGTATAGCATTCAATATAGTATCATATTCAAGCATGGTCTCTCTATGTGCCAGTAGGCAGTAATAAGATAAGTGAGTAAATTAAGGCTGATAAATTAAGAATTAACGTGAATAAACAGAACAATATGAAAGCAATATCTTTTGCAATCTGTGTATTATAAACAGCGTAGTTAACACCTTATAGCATGCCGTTGTCTTTTGGCTAAATTAAGACTTAGTTGTTTGTCCTGTAACAACGCTTAAACAGTTACGGTGCAGGCTTGCAACAATAAAAAGGCGCAACAGTTAAGAATTGGCGTCCGGGTACATATTAGTAGAGGAGCAGGCTGGTAGTATCCCTTTGGGTGTCGCCCTAGAGTCGTCTAAATATGATGTGCATTAAAGAAGTTACATTCTGAGAGTCGGGAGCTAAATGTTCCATCTAATCATTGTGTGTGACTCCGTGTGTGGTCTGGGCTTTAGAATGCAGTTGGACAGGGTCTATTTGCGTGTTGATATAACCAGGCAGTAACATTTAGCATTATGTAGTATAGACATGTGTGCCTACAGTATCTCCTGGCATGTAGGTAGACACAGGCCCTAACGCCCGCGGTCAGCTGCCGTCAGGGTAATATAGAACGTATCTACTTTATTGAAGATTTATATGCGGAGACCATTAGCTCGCTTCTAAGGCCCGCTGAGACCGAATATCCTTACATACTTATTCAGTTGTGGGCTTAGTTGTGTACATATGTGTAGTCGTTATATTACGTATCAGTCTGGTACGTGCGGTACCTATTGGTGTAGTGTGTATGCTGTATCGTGAAGCTAGGGTCTTGGGCATGGGTCTGGGTATCATATCCTGTTACATTTCAGTTATTGAACAAGCCCTAATAAACAGCGTTAGACTTATGCCCTCCGGGGCTCTTTAGCATGGGATGTCGTCCTGTGTGGCAGTCCCAGGGCTCCCATGCCTCCGCTACAGCACAGTCCCAGAGTCGTCGAACCTCCTTCCATCTTCTCCCCACCAACTCTGGTCCGCTGGCTGTGTCCTCCACCGTGCCGTGGGCACTCAAGGGCTGAGGCTGGCCACTCGACCCCACCACCAAAGTCTGTGACCCGCTCGCCCCCTGTACCTTCCCAACACCGTGTTGGTCCACATAGAGTGCGTTCCCCCAAGTCTCTCCCGCTGTCGGCCTCACTCTTGGGGCCGGTACACGTACCCCACGGCCACCGGTCCGCCGGAAGGGCAGCACACTCCTGCCCCACAGGGCTCGCGGCAGCGGGGACATAGCTCTCCGGGGACCTCCCTACCCAGAGGCCGGGGTACTCACTGCTCCAGCGGGTGCCGGGTCAGCGCGGAGGTTCTGTCCGGCGTCCACTTCGTCTGTTCTCGTACGAGCAGCCCACGCCAGGTCCCCCCAATGAGTGCGTTATTCCGCTCCACCTTCTGGGTCCCCACCAGCACACATTTCTCTTCTGTCCTGGTGCACCCTTTTCCACTGTGCCTGCCCCCCTCGTTTCTGTGTTCCGTTTTTCTGGCGGGCCTCTCCTTGGCAGCCGTTGCCAGTGTAGGGGCACAGCGTGTTCCCCGAGCCGAGGTGTCCGTTTCGGCGCATGCCATCCCCATGGGCCGGGATCTCCCCCTACCGGCCGGGGGGGGAGCGGGGCCGTCCCCCGAGCCAACATGGTTCTCCATAATGATATTTGTCTCCAGGGTGCATCTGCCGCCAACCTCTGCGTCTTGCACTTACTCCTGCTGTTGGCAGGCTTATGTCGGCTGCTAGGCCGGAGTTCTCCATGGCCGCGTATCCTGTATGCTGTGGGCCTTGTTCGGGTGTCATCTTGTAGCTGGAGTGTTTCTCTACCTCAGCATGCTCGGGTGTCCGAGTTTGGGGTGAATCTTGCTGCCATTGTTTGGGGCTCGAGCTCGGAGCCATGTCTGTCTGCTTCCACTCGGCCCGGCGGCCCGGCCCCGCCCCCCCCAGCCCAGCGTTGTTTGGCACTGATTTCATGGAACTAAAAACGGACACTTTTTCTGCCGAACACCGCTGAAACAACGGGTCGCCTGGCTGCCTCGACGAAAGTGTACGAACACCGGCCGTTCGGGAGTTTTACAACACACGAAAGGACTTAACCCAGATAGCCCTCCCATGGAGTCAATCGCATACCGAAAGACTGTAAGGACTTTGACTCCATGGCGATTGAACTGTGTGTGTGGGATCTGAGCGCTATTTGCCAATAATATGCACTCAGATCCAGGCTATCTGGGGATATGTGATGCGAATGGGAAATGTTCGGTTATTATAAAGTTATGTATTTTTATGTATTTTCTGGTATTGTATTTAAGATGGCGATTTGTCTTTGTCCTGGAGATAATTGAATTACTTCTCAATTATCTCCAGGGCAGAGGGGAGGAAACCATATTGCATTGTGGGAAAAGCTTGTGACTGTATGTCTGAAATGTCCCCATGTCTGTCTGTAATTCCAGTCTCCCATTTGGTCCCCTAGGGGAGTGTCCACCAAGTGGGAGACCTGCATAAATACGGGCAGGTAGCCCACAGTAAAGCCAGATCCTGTTTGACCCTCAGTGCGGAGCTTCTGTCTCGTTATTGGGGGGATTTCTTATTTGCGCCTAGAGACTGCTTACTGGAACCGAAAGCCGCTTGGTGGATATCGTTGTTCGGCGGCTAGCAGCAGTTCGTGGATTTCCGTTCGGGAGTTTGGAGCCTTTCACGGATCCCGGTCGGGAGATTATCGCTTCCCCTGATGTTGGTTCGTATACCGCAGTCTATGCGAATGGAGTTATTGGTATTGCGAAAGGGGAAGGCTAACTAAACGGCGGTTTCTCTTAAAGACACCAGAGGTGTCTTAACAATTGGTGGCAAGCGATGGGATGAATCCCACAGCACAAAAGGTCAGCTACACATCCCAATTTGGTGAAAAGAAATGCAGTATGAGGAGTTAAGGCGTGCTACCCTTAAGGACATACTTGAACGCCGAGGACAGTCAGCAAGCAATTTGAAAAAGCGAGAAATTATTGCTTTGCTACTGGAGATGGATGCAGCACAGGGAATGGAGAGAGCTAATGTGCCCAGCATTTTGGATTTAACCCCCGAGGAAATACAATTTAACTGGGCAGTGCAAATAAGGCTGGCACACTTTGGCCCCAACCCCTCAGCAGACATTGTGGAACGTGTGCAGGCAGCAGTGATGGCACACCAGGAGCTCCGGGAAAGAGGAGCTGCAGCAGCAGAGGTACCTAATAACAATTTTGGAAAGAAAAAGGTACCCTTTGCTGCATTTAAAATTTTTATTGAAACAGAGGGAGAGATTGATGGGTTCCTGGCTGACTTTGAAAGGCAGTGTGCCCTACACCAGGTACCCGCAGATGAATGGGTCACCATCCTCTCTGGGAAATTATCCGGCCGGGCTAGTGAAGCATTTCGGGCCATCCCAGAGGAGGAGATCACCAGCTACCGGGCAGTGAAAGATGCGCTCCTAGCCAGGTATGCGGTGACCCCAGAAGCTTACAGATGACGCTTTAGGGAAACCAATAAGCAGGTTGGTGACTCTTATGTAGAATGGGCCTGCAGGGTTCACCGTACCACAGCCCACTGGATGGCAGGATGCCAAGCGGTAACTGGGGAGGAGGTGCTGCAGGTGTTCTTGCTGGAACATTGCTTCTATAGACTACCTACCGGGGTCTGGGAGTGGGTCAGGGATAGGAAACCCTCCACCCTACCTGAGGCTGCCCGTCTGGCAGACGAATATACGGACGCTCGCAAGTTGGACAGTACAACTACCAAAGTTCCTGCCAGAATGGAGTATCGACCAACAGTAACTCCAGCACCTTCAGCCTACCAACCCCCAGTGCACCGCACCCCAGCAGTACCGCCAGCAAACAATTACGTGCAACCCTCCCGGTTCAATGCCAGGGATTATTCACAGCCAATTCGGTGCTTTGGGTGCAAACAGTTGGGGCACAAGCGACCGGAGTGCCCACTGGACAGCGCCAATCAAGCCCAGTCGTGGAGGAGACCAACCAGCGGGAATCAGCGGCCACCCCAGCCTGCTGCTCACTGTATCGAGCAGGAGGAGTTCTGGGGCATTCTACACGAGGCCGACCCAGTGCAAGCAGCTCACCAGGACAATCGCCAGCAGACTGTGAAGCTGAATGGCAGGGTGGTGAATGGGCTGAAAGACACAGGAGCCACCATGACACTGCTCCAAAAGAACCTAGTCTTGGAACACCAACACACTGGAGACACTGTGGCAGTAAGGGTAGCAGGAGGCGCCGTGTTCCGCTTACCTGTTGCCCGGGTACATTTGGATTGGGGAGTGGGCGCTAGACACGTGAATGTGGGGGTTATGAAAGACTTGCCCGCTGATGTTCTTCTTGAGAACGATTTGTCCCCTTTGGTTTCCGCCTATGCCCTGATGGGTCCTGCTGACGTTAACCCAGTGACTACTCGTGCTCAGACCCGTGCTACTGGAACCGGCTCGCCTGCTGATGAGACCCAGGTAATACCCTCTTCCCCGACTGGTACCTTAGATCAGGCCCCCTTAAGCTGGGATTCCCCAGAGGAGTTTGGGAGGGAAACCTGGGCGGACCCGACTCTCCAGAAATACCGAGATAGAGCAGAGGCTGGAGAGGAAGGGATAGATGGGGAGCGGTATGAGTGGGTGGGGGACAGGTTGTATAGGATCCCTAAGCCTTCCCAGAAGAGTGTTGCCCCTCCGCCGAATCGACAGCTAGTGGTACCTGCAAAGTACCGGCAGGAGATTCTGCGGATAGGGCATGATGTTCCATTAGCTGGACATCTAGGGTCCCGCCGCACAGCCTATAGGATCTCACAGAATTTCTTTTGGCCCAACTTTAACCAGGCTGTGCGGATGTATTGCAGTATGTGCGACACCTGTCAACGGGTAGGAAAGCGGGGGTCCACCCTAAGGCTAGATTATTATCGATGCCTATTATATGGGAGCCCTTTTCCCGCATAGCTGTTGACATTGTGGGTCCACTGGCCAGGGCTAGTCCATCCGGTAAGAAATACGTTCTTACTGTGGTGGACTATGCCACTTACTATCCAGAGGCAGTAGCGCTGTCTAATATAGAGGCAGAGACGGTTGCTGATGCCCTGGTTAGAATTTTCACTAGGGTCGGGTTCCCTAAGGAGATCCTCTCCGACCAGGGAACCCAATTCACCGCTGTGCTCACTCAGCAGCTGTGGAAGGTGTGTGGCATTAAACCGTTACTTAGCTCACCTTACCATCCACAGACTAACGGTCTCTGCGAGCGCTTTAACGGTACCCTCAAGCAGATGCTGAGGACCTTTACAGATACTTGCAGAGACTGGGAGAGGTTCCTGCCTCATCTGTTGTTTTCTTACAGAGAGGTGCCCCAGGAATCTACTGGGTTCTCCCCCTTTGAGTTGCTGTATGGGAGAAGGGTCTGCGGACCCCTAGATCTCATCCGGGGCCACTGGGGGGGGAGGGAGACAGAGCAGGAAGGGACCCCCATAGTGCCATATGTCCTGGAACTTCGGGACCGCATGGAGAAACTGTCCCTGATGGTAAGGGAGAATCTCCAGGCGGCCCAGGGGAGACAGAAGAGATGGTACAATCGGGGTGCCCGACAGCGGGTCTTCCAGGTTGGGCAAAAAGTATTGGTGCTCAAACCTGTGAAGGCAAACAAGATGCAAGCATCTTGGCAGGACCCGTACAGAGTAGTAGCGCAGATCTGCGATACTACTTACTTGATAGCCAGCTGTACAGATGAAAGGGTTCAGCGATCCTTTCATGTGAACATGCTGAAAGAGTACCAGGAGAGACCTGAGAATATTGCTGCAGTATGTGCCCCGGCTGCAGATGATCCTGAGAATTTACCCCTTCCCGATTTGTTAGAAAGGAACCCCCAGACTGACCTCACTACCCTTGTACAGCTAGGGGACAGGTTGAACCCCACAGAAAGGGTACAAGCGAAGCAGCTGTTGTGGGAGAAGCAGGCGACGTTCTCCCAGGAGCCAGGTTATACTACCCTAGCTGTACATAAGGTCGAGACCCCTGGGCAGACCCCCTTACGACAGCCGCCCTATCGTATCCCTGAAGCAGTCCGAGAAGGAATGCGGAAGGAGATACAGGAGATGACCCAGCTTGGGGTCATCGAGCACTCCGACAGCCCTTGGGCCTCGCCTGTATTCCTGGTGCCCAAGAAAGACGGGACCACCCGGTTGTGTGTGGATTACAGGCGACTCAACGAGCGGACCACCACTGACGCCTACCCGATGCCCCGGGTAGACGAATTACTGGATCGTATTGCCAGGGGGCGCTATCTGACCACCATAGACCTGTGTAAGGGCTACTGGCAGATCCCCCTGTCCGAGGATGCTATCCCCAAGTTGTCATTCGTCACCCCATTTGGCCTGTACCAATTTAAGGTCATGCCTTTTGGGATGAAGAATGCCCCGGCTACCTTCCAACGGATGGTGGATAGACTCCTGGATGGCTTCCAAGAATTTGCCTGTGCATACTTGGACGACATTGCGATCTACAGTGGGTCCTGGGAGGAACACCTGGTTCATGTAGGGGTGGTACTGGATAAGATTCGGGCCGCTGGCATGACATTGAAGCCAGAGAAGTGCCATCTAGGTATGGCCACTCTGTACCTGGGTCACAGAGTGGGATGTGGGAGCCAGAGACCAGAGTCAGCCAAGGTAGAGGCAGTGGCTAACTGGCTCACACCTACCACTAAGACCCAGGTATTGGCCTTCTTGGGGACGGCAGGGTACTACCGACGTTTTGTCCCTGACTACAGCACTATTGCTAAGCCCCTGACAGACCTGACGAAGAAGAACTTGCCTAAGCAGGTCCTGTGGTCTCCGGCTTGTGAAGCTGCGTTCCAGGCACTGAAACAGGCTCTTGTGAATGCCCCTGTCTTGGCTGCCCCAGTCCCTAACAAATGCTTTCTCGTTCACACAGATGCTTCCATGTATGGACTGGGGGCTGTGCTGAGCCAAGTCGGGGAAGATGGAGGAGAGCACCCTGTCGAATATCTCAGCCGAAAGTTGTTATCCAGAGAAGTGAGTTATGGGGCAGTGGAGAAGTTAAGTCCCTACTTGTATGGGCAAGAGTTTTCCCTTGTGACGGATCATAACCCACTCGTCTGGCTTAACCGGGTATCAGGGGACAATGGTAGACTGCTGAGGTGGAGCTTGGCACCACAGCCCTACAATTTCACTATCAGCTACTGACATGGTAAGCAGAACGGGAACGCAGATGGGTTATCCCGGCAAACTGACGTATCCACCACCTCCTAGTCCGGTCATCCCCAAGTTGACCCGCCAAAGGGTCAAGCCGGGTCTGCCGGAGTGTCCCACAAGGAGGGAGCCGTGTGACAGAACCATCTGTCTGCTTATTGTGGTGGATTCGTCTATTTCTGCCCGTTCGTGTAAATGGCTGTTTCTATAGCCCAGCCATACGAATGACTGTTTTCACCGAACAAATCTACCGAACGGAGGGCCACCCAGGATAGAAGTGTGCTGCTGGTTAACCCCTTGATCCCAATTAGAACGTTGTGGTTAACCGCAGACACTTCTCAATTAAACCGAATTCAGGGTGGCCATCGTTCGTATGTCGACCACGAGGCAGTGGCCATTTTAAAACACACGAAAGCCCAGCGGTGTTTGGCACTGATTTCATGGAACTAAAAACTGACACTTTTTCTGCCGAACACCGCTGAAACAACGGGTCGCCTGGCTGCCTCGACGAAAGCGTACGAACACTGGCCGTTCGGGAGTTTTACAACACACGAAAGGACTTAACCCAGATAGCCCTCCCATGGAGTCAATCGCATACCGAAAGACTGTAAGGACTTTGACTCCATGGCGATTGAACTGTGTGTGTGGGATCTGAGCGCTATTTGCCAATAATATGCACTCAGATCCAGGCTATCTGGGGATATGTGATGCGAATGGGAAATGTTCGGTTATTATAAAGTTATGTATTTTTATGTATTTTCTGGTATTGTATTTAAGATGGCGATTTGTCTTTGTCCTGGAGATAATTGAATTACTTCTCAATTATCTCCAGGGCAGAGGGGAGGAAACCATATTGCATTGTGGGAAAAGCTTGTGACTGTATGTCTGAAATGTCCCCAAGTCTGTCTGTAATTCCAGTCTCCCATTTGGTCCCCTAGGGGAGTGTCCACCAAGTGGGAGACCTGCATAAATACGGGCAGGTAGCCCACAGTAAAGCCAGATCCTGTTTGACCCTCAATGCGGAGCTTCTCTCTCGTTATTGGGGGGATTTCTTATTTGCGCCTAGAGACTGCTTACTGGAACCGAAAGCCGCTTGGTGGATATCGTTGTTCGGCGGCTAGCAGCAGTTCGTGGATTTCCGTTCGGGAGTTTGGAGCCTTTCACGGATCCCGGTCAGGAGATTATCGCTTCCCCTGATGTTGGTTCGTATACCGCAGTCTATGCGAACGGAGTTATTGGTATTGCAAAAGGGGAAGGCTAACTAAACGGCGGTTTCTCTTAAAGACACCAGGGGTGTCTTAACAATGACTATTTACAAAAAGGAGGAGGAAAGGACAGCCAACTACTAACTAACCCTAATGACATCCCTAATTGGCTGCAGCTCATCTGTCTTAAAGGACCACTATAGTGCCAGGAAAACACACTTGTTTTCCTGGCACTATAGTGCCCTGAGGGTGCCCCCACCCTCAGGGTCCCCCTACCGCCCGGCTCTGGAAGGGGGAAAGGGGGAAAAACTTACCTTTTTCCAGCCCTGGGCGGGGAGCTCTCCTCCTCCGTTCCTCCCCGTCGGCTGAATGCGCACGCGCGGCAGAAGCTGCGCACGCATTCAGCCGGTCGCATAGGAAAGCATTATCAATGCTTTCCTATGGATGCTTGCGTGCTCTCACTGTGATTTTCACAGTGAGAATCACGCAAGCGCCTCTAGCAGCTGTCAATGAGACAGCCGCTAGAGGAATTGGGGGAAGGCTTAACCCATTTATAAACATAGCAGTTTCTCTGAAACTGCTGTTTATAAAACAATG